TTAATCTAAGTTTAAGCAAACTACGCTTCCTGGTACACGAGCGCTAACGTGTAAGCAGAAGTAGTGGGCACGTCGCAAGCCCATTACAGGTTACTACAGCTCAGTACGGGAGGAAGGAGACCATTGCTCATTCGTAATTGATCCTTTACTAGATGAGGAATTGTATACTTGTTACTATCATCTACGTTCATCGATGCCTGAAGCACCGACTGCAGTGTGACGAAAACTCGGTCAATTGTGCTGTACTGCAGCTGATTGAATGCCTCCTCAACATTATTGACCAGGTCTTCAATCCAATCAAAGCTTGAAAAATATGAATATTGATGTTATGGTTGAATTTTGAGTTTGGACCCGCGTATATTTTCGGACAGAGGAAGTACTTTTTTGCCCAACGTTCAGCATACATTCTGATGTCAGCTGAATGTTGAGCGAGATAACATGGAGTGAGTTACGCAGTACCGTGGAATTAATCCGTTGCGAACTGACGGAATTTCCAGAATTATTGCGTTGAGGGCTTCCAGACCAAAAGGTATTCCCAGTATCATACTTTACGGTTATCTTTATTCGGACGTCAACGTAAACTGATTGTAATCTTCCCGTGCGAAAGTGGGTTAGGTGATATCCTCATCACGTCCCGTGTTTGGACGAGTTTGTCAGCTTGAAGTGCTGGCCCATTTCCATTCTCTCTCGGCAGATACTCTCGCTCCGATGCACCGCCATCTATTGCGTCTAGAGACTACAACCATTCGCTCCCTGTGTGCTAACCGCTCGGGAGCACATTATTCAATTGGCGCTGCTCTGACGCGATCGTTTAGTTCGACCATGACCTCGAAACTTCGATTCAACGGAACGTACACTGCACTGGTGACCCCCTTCACGCCCGATGGATCTGCCGTCGACTACGACAGCTTAAAGAAAATGGTCGAGTGGCAGATCCAAGAGGGTATCGACGGACTCGTTCCGGTGCGCTTTAGTGCTTCTCCTTGTGGTTGTCACTGAAATAGTTCTAAATCAAATTTCTGTAGATGGGATCTACGGGTGAAAACACGCTGGTGTCGGACGAGGAGCGGCTGCAAGTGATCAAGACCGTCATCAAGACCGTTAATGGTCGCGTTCCTGTGATCGCGGGCACTGGTTCTCTGTCTACTGATGGTGCTGTGCAGTTGGCACGTGAAGCGAAGGAACTGGGTGCAGACGCCTGTCTAGTCATCGCTCCGCCTTACGTGTGTGCGTCTCAACGTGGTCTGTATGAGCATTTCCGCCGAGTGGCTAGCGTTGGTTTACCTGTTATGATCTACGACAATCCGGGTCGTGCTGGTGTTTCACTGGAGCCCCAAACCATCGCAGAGTTGGCGAAAGTGCCTGGTATCGCGGCGTTGAAGGATGCGACTGACTCGGTGACACATGCTGTGGATGTCATGGCTTTGTGTGATCTCCCAGTCGTCTGTGGGGCAGACAACTTGGCGTTGCCTATGATGGCTTGCGGTGCTGTGGGGGTCATGAGCATTCTTTCGAATGTCGTGCCATCCAGAGTGCTTGCAATTACAAAGGCGATGGAGAAGGGCGACATAGCGGCGGCCAGGAAGGCTCACCAAGCCAACGTAAGTCCAAAAGATGAAATATCGTCGATTGTACCAGCACTAATTTGTTTTTCTTGCAGGTTCTCCTGGTAAACTCGTTGTTTGTGGAGCCGAATCCGATACCAACCAAGAAAGCGATGGAGCTTCTAGGTCGATGCTCGTCCACTGTGCGCTCACCATTGACTGAATGCACCACCGAGACTGAAAAGCTACTTCTTGAACAGCTCAAGGCCAACAAACTGCTGTGAGGAATCTCTCCTGGAATCTAGAACGAGGTTTGAGTATTTCCTAAACCTTGGACAGATTGTTGCTAGGATTTATGAATGAATACAAAATCTTGTTGGCCTTATGCAATACATGTATAACATCCACACCTACGCCGTACCAATAATTAGATACGACTGCGTTGCTGCAGTGCCTCGTCCACCAGCAATCCTTCAATCATCTCGGCACTTGCCGCGATATTTGCGACTGTGGCACTGAGGACGAATTCCGCCAACGCGCCGGTCCTCGCGTCCTTCTTGAGTCTCTGATCTGACAGATCCGGCTTTATGATATGGCAGGTCTGCACGAGCGTGTATGTTTCGTCCTGAGAGACCTGGTGGGGCTTAATGACCACGTATCCTTTCTCTCGGAAGCGGATGCCGGCGAGCTTCTTGTGTGAAAACTCCAGCGGTTCAATGTGCGACTGCCACACCACGACAACGCGGTTTTCCTCGATGTATCGGCGCAGAATTTGCTGCACGTAGAACTTGGCGCTCGTCTTGGCCTTTGAGTCGCTCATTTCCATGCCGAAATGCTCGACAATCGTGTCGTCCGTGCTCTCCAATCGATGGCAACTGCCTCGGTTAGGATTGAAATGGTTCCATCGACGCCACCACGCTTCGCCCGTAGCGTGCATACTGAAAGGAAGAACTTTACTATCGAAAATCTCGAGGAACATGCCGGTATTAGCGTCACGCATTTGAGCTTTGCGTGACGATACGTTCGAGAGTTCGAGGCCGCTGGAAGCGAACACACGCTCCACTTCACGGTACGACGCGTCAACACCATCAGCCAGTTCCTCGAATACAACAGCATCAGCGACTTCGTTGCCGGTTCTTGACACGTGAATGCGCGTAGTCTGTTTACTCCCGGACGACTCGGAGGGATACAACGTTGTGCGCTTGTTCAGAAGCTTCTCGAGGCTCTTAGCGACCTGGATCTGCCCCTCCAGTAGCATCTTTAAGTGAGCATTTTCACGCTCGGATCGAAGTCGACATTCAAGTTGACGAGCGCAGGTTTGTTCCCACACAAATGGAGTACGGCTATCTACTGGTTGAGTCGCCAACTGGCGGACGCTCGAGCCGTCTTTAGTTTTGGCGACCTTGAGAGACTGTAGCTGGTGCAACTTAACTTCCAGCTCGTCTGCTTCACTGCGGAGATACGTCAACTCTCGTTGGAGATCCTCCCGTGCCTTGTTCGGGTTGTAATTGCGTCGTTTCTTGTGGATGGGCTGCTGGGGTGTCGGAATGGCGCTGAGAAGGCTCGATGACCCGAAATGTTGGGCTTCAGGCGCCAATAAAAAGGTGACATTGCGGCTGGAAGGTGTGGGGACTGCAGCGATGGCGAGGTCCGCTGCGACGCCTGGCGAGGACGCGTCCGAGGAGATATCAGTGGGGAAGTCGTCGAGCAGGTGGGACGTCTCCCAGTCGTCGCTGTCGGGGGACTGGGCTTGAGCATTGGATGAGTGTGAGCGGATGGGAGAGGCGTCGTCCAGTGTTTCATCGATGAAAGCCAGCGTGGCCTGCAAAGACTCCGTGGACTCGGGCTCCAGGACGAACTCCATTGTGCTGTGAGGGCTAGCGTGCTAGTCGACGAATGACGGTTCAAGTGCCATTTAGACAAGTCCCTGCTGAAAACGATTTCAATAAACATTTCGGTTCCATCAGTGTATTTAATATTATCATATTTTAAGCTATGTTTCTAAAAGTACGTGTAAATTATTATGCACTATAATTAAGGGTTATTTAGTTAAACAGTGAGTGATAGTTTCTAGACCTGATGGAGTTTTATCATGCGTGGAATGCTCATATTGACATTACCATTGGTGAGTATGTCTAACGGGAGGCTTGTCTTCAGCAATCAGGCATGGTGTTCCAGTATGCGCTTCGTAACGCGGACGATATTGCTGCAATCATGAAG